TAGGGCTCTATTTTTCGCAAGGGACCCCGAGCCGACCAAGGGCAGTGTTCGATAAGTCCAGAAGAGGGGCCCGGGCGGCCAACCAGTACCAACGATCAAAGGCCCGGTTGGGGGTCGGGCAGGAAGGAACTGGCTGTAATTCACATAAAGACTCACAGCCCGTTGGGTCGTGACCTGAAATATCAGTTAAGGGTAATCTTGCACCGTTTGAGGAGCCCTGACACAGTGCGTGTGTCTAAGTTGGCTAGAGACCATGAAAACCGGACAGTTGGCTCCCTGTCAATCTGCAATGCGATCCATTTCCCACGCAGGAGCAAGGCCAGGGGCCACGATTTGCATTGCTTTTGGGTCCCCGAAACAATGGTTAGGGCTTCTATGTCGGTCAGGGACCCACCTTGCCTACCAGGGGTCATCGGTCGGCTAGTGGTCCCTAGTCGATCACGGGCTCTGTTTGAAGAGGCCTGGAGAGGGATATTTTGGCCCCTCGGGTCAAAGATCAATGGCCCCATTGGACCCGGACCTGGCCCCCCAACCGAAGTGCCGTGGCAAAAAACAAAACGTCAGAGGGCTTCTACTAGGGACCCAAGCATAAAAGTTATCTAACTCTTTTATACAGGACCCCGATAGGGAGCCAAACAGTCGGCCTCATGTCCGTCCATGCCCTGGGAACCATTTCCCAAGTAGGAACGAGGCCCGGACCGGCGATCTGCAATGTTTGGGGCCTTTGACACAATGAGAGGCTCCTATATCGGTCAGGGCCCAGTGTCTAACAGGGGTCCTATGGCAGCAAATGGGCCCGAGTCGGTCGGGAGTGGTGTTTGAGGGAGCAGGAAGAGGGGCCGAAGAGTCGCTTGAGGCCAAAGATCGAGGATCCGACAGAATGGCTCAGGGGCCCAAAGGGCTGGCAGAAGATTGCATTAAAAACCCCGCCCGTAGGGCCGTGATCTCAAACATCAGTTAGAGGGCCTATTGCACTGATTGGCGACGGCTGAGACAGAGTGTTGTTCTGTTTCGGCCAGATTACCAACACCGAGCAGTCGGCTGCGTGCCGGTATGAGTCCGGTGGCCCATTTCCCAAGCAGGGACATAACGGAGGCGGAACTTACACTGGTCGGGGCCCCTTGCAACAATGCAGGGGCTCCTGTATCGGTCAAAGACCCACAGCTGTCCAACAGGGTGTTCAGTGTCAACACGGGGCCTCGAGTCGGTCAGGGGAAGATTTGCTCAACGGGGGCGGGGACGTTCAAGATTAGGCTAACTTGTCTTTTTATAACTTTGATATTGTCCCCTGCACAGATTAACAGCTACAGCAAAAAGAACGTAGAGATCGTCATTCGCTCTTTCAGTTCTACCAACAGATTCCGGCACCACTTAGCAGCGCTCTTAAGCTAATCCGTTCTTATCATCCACCTTAAAATCGCACGTGTGAAAAATACGCCCGGATTACCTACTAAATGAAAGATGTGATGCCCTATAGCGTGCAGGGGTACTTCTTTCGGAGCCGTTGTCATCTTCGTTCACCCATTGGCCACGACTCAGAATTAGCTGTCAGCTCAACGCCGCGCGGCCTGCGGAGGCTACAACGCCTGGAGCCGAGGTTTTGTCCTTAAGATTTGTTAGCGAGTATGCTCAAAACTACGTTACTATAACATTCAGGCGGAATTGATCTCACAGTATCTTTCGACCCCTTTTGCATCCGTAGAAGGCAAAAAGAAAAACTTAAAACCATGCCCCTGTTAAGAAATGGGGCATTTGGGCGATATCTTTAGGGCATTTTACTATCAATGGGCCCTTTGTCAACCCTGTGCTCCTCCCCCCCCCCCCTTCCCCTACCTTGCAAAGGCTCTGGCTGCGCGCCTGCCACTCACTGCACACGAGCAATGTATGGCAGTTCCAGCCCCTGAAGTCCAGCTCCATACCACCAATTTATTGAACATGGCAGGGACTATCTGACCATGCGTCGACGGCACTGGCAGCTACAGATGGCGAACAGGCAGAGGGCCAACCCGCGCGTGCGCTGCCTTAGCAAGGAAGCGCGTGGGAGGTGGGAGGGACCCCGGCCCTGCCTGCAACGCGCGCGTGCCGACGGCCGCAGCGCCGTTGCAGCTCAGACTCGCGGCTGTTGTCGCCGGCGCGGCGGCCGGGCGGCCGGGTGCAGGGTACAGAACACGACACGGGTCGGCCGGGCCGCGGTTGGTTGTCGCCAGGGGCCTGGCGTCGCGGCCGGCGCGTCCGCCGCTCGGCGAGGAGGCCGGCCGCGCCCGCCAGCCGCAAGCCCGCCGCCAGCGCCGCTCGCCAGGCGGCCACGCACCACCGGAGGGCCAGCGGCGCCGCGCGCGCCCGCTCGACGCGCCCCTGTCCCTCCGAACCAGTCGGTATCAACATACCCGGCGGCCCGCACCGCCAGCACCCCTCGGCGAGGACCGGCTAGAGGCGCCCCTGGCCCGGCGCGTCGCCCAGGCCGCACGCGACCGGCCGAGAAGCTGGGCCTGCGCCGGCTGAGCCCTGACCGGACGAGGCCGGTGTCTACCGGCTCGGCAGCCCGCCGCCCTGACGGTACCGGTGCACCGCCCAAACCACCCACTTCTGACGACTCCTCCAGCCGCACAGCCCGCCGCCCGGACGGTACCGGCGCACCGCCCAAACCACCCACTTCTGACGACTTCTCCAGCCGCACAGCCAGGGCGGTCAGCCGGCTGGAACTAATGTCTGCTTTCGTCTGTTTTATGCCGGTTAAAACCAACGTAAACCGACAAACTCAACATAGTTCGCTTTATCGACAGCGTCATATTGCTTCTTTTTGCCAGCAAACCATGCACACCGCACTGATACACAGACACAACAAAAATGTCGTACTTGGCACATGGACTAGTTTCTGAACCTGTCAACTATGACCGCTTACCATGGCTTGTTTGATGTATGACTACTACATCTATAACCAATCATGATTTGCTGTCACACAGAGGTATCGCTTCATTATGGAAAATTATTAATTATTAACTGGAAAAGTGTGTAACATGATTCAAACTGCCTTTCAAAAGACAACCAGTACATTTCAAAGTGCTTAAATACCCGAGTACCACAGGATAATTAAATTTTTGTCATACAAATCAAATGCGAATACAATACGAAGTGATGCCGAACTGCCGCCAATGTGACTAGATTTGTGTATCCTGAAATTGGATAGACCATAATATTGCAGGAAGTGCTTCAAGAGTGTACCGGGTTTTGAACTGAAAAAGCCAGTTCCAAGATCATTCGGTGAAGTTCACAACCCTGCCATTCTTCGGACCTAAACCCCTCTAGTTGCTTAGCTACACCCCGCGAAGACGTGCAGACTTTTTTGTGCGGTCTATTTTTGGGGCATTCAGGTATGCATGACGCCATAGCAATGTAGTCCAAATCCTGCCACCCCACAGGCCATGCGGCGTTCAAGGCCAAAAATACTGTTATCGTCGAGCCGTTCAGATCTGGCACCCGTGAGGACGATTTCCAAATATTATGGACGCCAGTTGGTTCCCCATCAATATTGAGCAATCTGTGCCAATTTCAACAACGAATCGCGTTTAGTGCTACGTCATGTAAGAAGTTAGATATGATTACTAGCTTTTACGGAAATAAGTCTTGTAATTGAATGACCTCAGTAAAGCGCCATTTACTAGTACGTGAATGCAAGAAAACTTCGTAAATCATGGATAAATATGCAAGAATACCATGAGAAAGGGTCAAAACCCAAGCACGGAACGATATCTGGTTCAGTGAACACTTGCAACATTGTACTGCCATCTCTCTGCGAGTTCGAAGTCATATAAGTGAGTGGAAGGGTGGCAATTCCCTATAGTTAGTATGGCAGCACCTCGACGTCGTGCAAACGCTTCATGACGCAATCAATGATTGCTGTCTAGAGCAGTCGTTGCAACTGAAAAGTAAACCAAAAGTTAAAAGCGAGCTTCTTTCACCATTTATGATAATTGCTCCAATATCTTCAAATGTGGAGCACTTTCCCTAAGGCACACTTTGTTACAAAAAAACGACGCCCTGCATAGCAGTGCCTGACTTTGTCAATTGTGCTCCTCATTTGGCTACTAAGCAATCATTCTACGCAGTACATTTTGGCAACTTGTGATTTAGCCGCATGCTAAAAAAAAGCACATTGTCTTTGCCGGGTCAGTGCACTCTGCCTAGAAGCAGGCTTAGAAGTGGAGATGGACGAGTTTGATGTTCTCGCTTGATTTATGCATGCAACGGTCCATCTTATGCATCGCATCACAACATCCAACAGTTTTTGTTAGTACGTCGTTCTTTCTACTGATGCGTTTTCATGTGCGCACTACATTAACACTACGAATGCTGAATGCGAACGCCATATTGGCCTGATGTCATTCCATTGACTTACAGCCTATTTTACCTCAGCCGAGTTTCTGCCAGTTCTGCCAGTTTTGCCATCTGTAGTTTCTACCAACCAGTCAAGACTGGCTGGCTGACATTGTTTCAGCCAATGGCTGCCTAACTTGCCAAAAAAGTGCATTCCTTAAGACAACGATGGTGATAATTGGAGGAGGGGTGGGGGTGGGGAGTAGAGGTACAGACGCGCCTACTGCTGGGAAAATACTGCGCTCGTCGGTTCCTGGAAACGCGCACCGGGGTCACGTCACTTCCGGCCAGCACGGCAAAGACATCGCGAACGCCGTGGACATTGGACGCACAGCACAGGTGCCGGCTACCGGCGGCCCCATCTGAGAAGTGAGCGCCGAGCCTTCCGACGCTCGCCTTCAGCACTGCCTACGGCCAAGCCAGGCGCCTCGACAGTGCGCCCGTCAGCGCGCCGCCGCCACTGGTCCGCCACCGGTCCTTCCCGTCCCCGGACGACAGTGCGCCCGTCAGCGTGCCGCCGCCACTGGTCCGCCACCGGTCCCTCCCGTCCCCGGGCGACAGTGCGCCCGTCAGCGTGCCGCTGCCACTGGTCCGCCACCGGTCCCTCCCGTCCCCGGGCGACGTACCGTGGCCGTGATGCCGGAGCGGATCAGCTGGGCCGTCTCCAGGGCGCCGACGCCCGGCTCGTCCAGGCCCAGGCCCGAGTCCTCGTCGGGCTCCACTGGAAAACGGCCAACGACGGTCAGGCACCCGGTACCCGGGCACGGCATACGCTGACACGGTCAGCAGGCGGCTCACGCTGACACGGTCAGCAGACGGCATACGCTGACACGGTCAGCAGACGGCATACGCTATCAAAGCCATCAGACGGCATACGCTGACACGGTCAGCAGACGGCATACGTTGACACGGTCAGCAGACGGCATACGTTGACACGGTCAGCAGACGGCATACGCTGACACGGTCAGCAGACGGCATGCGCTGACACGGTCAGCAGACGGCATGCGCTGACACGACCATCAGACGGCATACGCTGACATAGCCATCAGACGGCATACGCTGACATGGCTACCAGACGGCACACGCTGGACGGTCAGTAGACGGCTCACGCTGGACGGTCAGCAGACGGCTCACGCTGACACAGCTACCAGACGGCACACGCTGGACGGTCAGCAGACGGCTCACGCTGACATGGCTACCAGAAGGCACACGCTGACATGGCCACCAGACGGCACACGCTGGACGGTCAGCAGACGGCTCACGCTGACATGGCTACCAGAAGGCACACGCTGACATGGCCACCAGACGGCACACGCTGGACGGTCAGCAGACGGCTCACGCTGGGCGGTCAGCAGCACCCACCAACAGATAGACCGGGTTCGCCGGCACCGGCTCACCCAGATTTCAGACACACACAAAACACGCGCACACCAACGCAGCATTTACATGCATACCGAGAGCCAACACGGAGACACTAAGACAAGCGGTTCCATCTGAGATACACAGCATACCATCAGACATAGGCCCAATACGGGCCCCACGCGGGAACGTACGGAGGCACGGGTGCGGGGTCATCACGCATACAGTACGCAGTGCGTCACGTGGCTGACCTGAAATTGCCTGGCAAACTGTAACGGCGCGCCACTGGGACCTCCTCGGCTGATGGATCACGCACATTAGACGACGAATATGGCTCATGCCAGGGCGACAATGGCCAACACACATCCATAAATGAAACGGTAGCAGGAAGTGTGGGCGACTGGATGCATGATGCATGGGTTATTAATCGAGCGGCTGTAGCCCGTCCGCGCCAGAGACTGTGGCCAGCGGCTGCCATGACCCGCCCCGCCCCCCCCCCCCCCTTGATGCCTATCTGGGACCGTATTTCAACAGGCTGGCGGCGGTGCCTGACAGGAGCCGTTTGGGCTGACAGGAGTCATTTCGGCTGATTGCCAGCGGCCCAGCGCGGGTCGTAAGTCCGGGCCGGAGTCTGGTGTGGAATGGTGGTGAGCTCGGCCGCCGATGTGGACCACTCTCCTGACGGCGGCCGAGACAGCGCTCCCCCACAACGCGTCATGGAACGGGTGCCGCAACCGGCGGCGGCGCCGGCTTCCACCGCCGGTCCCCATCCCAACGGTACCGCTCCGGCCGGCCGCGCCGGCTTCCACCGCCAGCCCATCCCAACGGGTGCCCTCCCACGCGGCGGCCGGCTTCCACCGCCGGCCCCATCCCAACGGGTGCCGCTCCCGGCCGGCGCCGGTTTCCACCGCCGACCCATCCCAACGGGTCCGCTCCCGGCAGCGCGCCGGCTTCCACCGCCGCCCCATCCCAATGCCCGGGATCGTCGGCTGGCGACCATCACAAGTGACACAAAATGTCCGCAGCTCGCGTGCTCATCGTATATAATACACACCTAAAGGTACGTGTACACACAACCTGCACATAAAGCAAATGTTTGGTACATAGGGACCAAAATGCATTTCAGATGACACTAACTTCGCAGGAAATGTTTATATCTCGCCGTACTTGTCACTAATCTTGTTAGTGAAAAACCCAACAGACAGCATGACGCAGCGCTCTGCCATGAAGCTGCGCATTCCGAGAAGTTTGAAATCCACGGTTGCCGGTCTGAGCCTGAGCACAAGCTTGAGAACCCCTGCGAGCGGCTGGTATGGCTCGCCGGCGCTTACATTCCTCGACGGGTGATAACCGACCTCCTGATCGTGTGCCGAATGCAGGAAGCCCATTACAAACATCGGAAAACAGGCTTGGCACAGCACACAGCAGACTGGCCGCTGGCAACTGACAGCCATGTAGCTAAGGCCGCGGAGAAACAGCATAGGCTTGCTTTGAAAAGGTGTAAAACGTTGACGCAAACGGCATGTCAAGGTTACGGCAAATGCCCCTGATCATTTTCAGCCTTCCCTACGGTTATACATATGACAACCAGGGGGGGGGGGGGGGGGGGCACCAAGCCCAAAGTATATTTCCAGTTGCCCGCTGCAGTAAAAAAACAACTAAAAACCATCAATTGTACATTGGCTAAAACTTCCAAAACTGCAGTGTCAGGAGTTTAGAGTTAGGCAGTGCACTGCCTAGAGACATTCTCCCTGATGGCAGGCGAAGGCAGAACGTGCGAAGTGAACGGTCACGGCGGAGGGAGACGGACGGACGTTGGGGGGGGGGGGGGGGAGGAGGAGATACTCACGCTTTGTGATCGGCACCGGCGTCAGCTGGCAGCGCGGCACCTTGGTCCGCTCCCGGCTGCCATGGCTGGTGACGCCTGAAACACATCGGCGGTGGTTTACGCGCACCAAGGCCACGCAGCAGCAGCATACGCCAGAGTTTACAGCTCCAGACTCTCCTCTTACCGCGGAAGAGCGCTGCCGAGAGAAAACATACAGAACACTTGCCGGGGCGCCGCCTCTGCCGTCGGCCATCAGAAGCACGCTTGCGTTCACTTTGTTTCGCCCCGGTAATAGCCCCGCTGACACTAATGAGTAGCTAATGACCTACAGGCCATGCAGCAGCTGTACTGGTCCCTGGCAGTGGGACATTCACAGCCATCTGTGTGGGGGCGACAGCACATGTCCAGCAACACGATCATACTTGTAAGTGCATTAGCAATAAAAGTTAGGTTATATCTGTCAAGCCGTGTTACAACTCCATGGGTAGGTGTCTGGCCGAGAGCAGTTCCACTGTGTTAGTGACGCATCCTATCATGCCCGCCGACCCATTCTCCGATTTTAACAGCAGTAAAGCAGGCTAAAATAACCATGGCGCAAATGATATCCGTGAAGTGCACCACTGACGCTTGAATACCTTGGCAGCCATTCAAGATATTACGCTGACTTTTTCAGTAGCTGAGTTATCACGCTTGCACCTCATGCCAGCTTTTCTGCACATTTTATCAATAGATCGCGAGGTATGCTCTATTTGTGAAGACCATATCAGTCATGCTTCTCGCCCTATCGACAATGCAGTTAAATTATTACCGACCGGGTCACGCCACCGGTTTGCTTTAGAATATCCGGATTTTGGCGCCGGAGATGGAGGCCTTAATTGAGGGCGATGGGTCGGGTCATCAGAGGTCAAGCTAGGTCATACATTTCCAATCATTTTACATAGAATGCATGGCACCTACACCTGCGACAATGCTCTATCAGGATACATCACCCCAGCACCATTTTGAAGAACGTCGTGCGACCAATGGTAGTGAATTTCTTGAGACAAGTCCACGCCGGGTCCGATAAATACGAAACTGTTGAGTGCAGATAGGCATAGCTTGCCAAGTAAATGTGGCAAACGTGGTTCTTTAGCGATTGTAGATTTCTCAACTCGCTTTTGTTTGAGCACTAGCATGCAAGACCATTGACCTTCTAAAGGTCACGCAAGGTTAAACCTTTGAAATAAGTGCCTGCATGCAGCATCTGAGATTCCTTTTCATCGGTTGTGACTGCAGCTGTAATATGTGTCTACCATAGGTCGAGTGCGCTAGCTCAGCCTGATCGTCAGTGCGCTGTGCATTATGATTAGTACTCCAATGTCTTCTACGACTCTGTGACATCACTTGACATGCACAGGTATCTTCAGTGGTTTTGAAATCTAAGTAATCTAACAGCACTCTTCACATCAGAGTATTGTTTATCGAAATGGTCGGTTATAATATGACTGGCAAAAATTCGCCTCACGAGCAAAGTTGACTTTCGAAGGTTATATGCACACGATGCAAATTATTCAAAGCTGAAATGCAAAAAAAAAGGAGCGGGAGAGTGACCTGGAGCTAAAGCCAGACCCAAAGCCAGAACCAGAGCCAAAGCCAGAGACAGGGCTAGAATCAGAGCTACAGCCAGGGCAAAAGCCAAGCCAAGCCAAAGCCAACATGCCAAGCCAAGTGCATGCCAAGTACGTGCCAAGTACATGCCAAGTCGTACATGCTCAAGAGCTGTACATGCTGAGCCGTACATGCTCTGGAGCTGTGCGTGCTGAGTCGTACATGTCCAAGAGTTGTACATGCTGAGCAATACATCCTGAGCCGAACATGCTCTAGAGCTGCACATGCTGAGCCGTGCATGCCCCAGAGCTGACCATGTCGTTATACAAGCGCATCCTGCAGCGGGCCGGGCGTGCCGCCCAGACCCGGGGCGGGTGAGGCCCGTTGTGTTTTGGTGTTGATGGCTGTGGGTGACGTTGACGCAGGACGTCAGTACGCCAGCATAACAGACGTCCATGGTGCGGCGCGATCACTGGCGACCTGGCCTGCTCCACTCAGATGTGTATTGCGACGCTGTGTCCTGTTTAAACAATAGCAGACATCGCCTTCTGGGTGCGGAGCAGGCATGCACGTAGGGTTTCATCATACGGGAAGTCAGTGTATTACAATTAAAAAGCTGTTTTGCAAGATCCAAAAATCCCTTTGCTGGTTGCTTCGCCTCTCCATTTGCTACTTTTCCCAAGCGCCGAATCTCACTTGGATGTCAGACTTCATACCCTATATCAGCCCTAATTCTCCCCTGATATTGCGAGGTCTATTGGCCCCACTATGGTGATAAAAAACTACTATGAACCTTTGTAGATGAACTGCCAATTTATTTAAAGGGCATGTTCTAAATTTGAAGATATTGATGCAAGCATCAAATAAGATGGAAAATTCACTGGCTTCCATTGGCATGCTTTTAAATGCAAAACTCCTCTAGCTAAAAAGGTACCATCATTTAGAAAATATGGTGCTCACTACATCGCAGTCTGATTGCGTCATGTACCGTTTTTATGGCACTAGAACTGCTGTCAGATTAGCTGTGTCAAGTTTATCTCTGTAGCGGACGGGCTGACTCAACCGTAGGACTTCAACGCGTGTGCCTCGTTAATTTATGTTTTAAATGACCGACGATCGTTGTATACGCGTGTTTTGCCCCTTCTTGTGGTGTCCTTGTATATTTTTTCGTGACGGCATGTTTTTTTACTTGCATTTGTATTCTCGGTTACAGCGTCATTCTTGTTATTCAATTGCCAGTCTCATGTCCGTCATCACTAGCAGAGCTGGCCAAATGTCCATATAAAGAATCGCAAGACGCGGTAAATGACCAAGACTTGCATTCAACGCACTAAACTGCGTGAAAGCCAATTGCTATCTGTCGATATGATGATTCGTGCTGACGTGCTCCAGACCCAAATAAAACAATGGACACCTCAGTGCAAACCCCCTACAAATGCGGAGCAGTCGTCTAGCGTATACTGAAATGGCGAATTACTTAGGCATGTCCGTTGAAAAAAACATCCCAAGACCGTGGTGCAAGTACCTTTTATGAACTACAGGCCGCCGGCAAATCTGTGCTGTGTGCTGCGCTGAACTCACGCTCGAGCTCGATTTATGACAGCGGGTTTGCGTACCTCTGATTTGGATATTGAGCAGTAGTGGTGAAGACCTTGTGCTTTACAAGTTACCCGGGGGACGGAAGTCTTCCGAGATGAAGAAAAGGGGGGCTAACACCCATATTTCGGTCACGACTCTTCCAGGTTTCAGTCGTTTCTTTCCGGTCTACGCCCATAGATAGGGCTAATGTAAGATCTTCAAAAAACAATCAAGTGGGGTCCCTTGGCCGAAAAGTCCCATTTTGCCCCGATTTGGCCCACTCCTGGGCGAAATTCTGACTAGGACTAGGCCACAACTCCCCCTTCCCGATATCATTCAAAAGGCCGCATACGTTACCACTTACTTCATCTGCAAGTATATGAACGGTTACCAAAAAAAAACACACACACTTTTGCTTCCACAAATGACGACCTGAGCAACCATGGATGAAAATTCAGCTGGAATCCATCATCTGATAGCCAGGAAGTCAGCAAATTGCATTGCTATATCTAAAATGGTTTGGCATTAAAAATGAAAAAGAAACAGGGGGCCGAATCCCCTGAAATGCAGGCAGGAGTAACCAATGATTTGATGTGGTGTAACGTTGCGCGCAGCCGGGACTGCTGCGGGCTTACCTCGTGCTCTCCTCTTCCGAACGAGCCTTGCAGGCCTCTGTTGCGCCGCCTCCAGCGATATGTGCTCCACAAGCATCACGCTCGAGCGATTCTCTTCCCCCGCCAGCTGCGACAGGCCAAGTTGTTGTCTTCCGTCAGAAAACACTGCAATGGCGAAAAACACAGCCGTGAGTAAAGACCTGCCGCATACACAGCACAAACCACCGACCTGAAAACTGGTGTGGACACCATCAGTGCTGTTTTAACATCTTACTGATCGATGTCTTACATACTTATTTTACATTTTGTCTTCCTGGCATCCCATTTCATCACATAATAATTTCTGTCCCAAAAAATCATTATTTGTCTGACTTCTAATGGACAAATTTCTAGGAGCATAGTCTATGCTGATCAGGGTTTGTTTGCGAATCATGAACACCACTATCAGACAATAAAATCCCTGAGTCACAGCATGATTTTGTGATGAAAGCTTACCAGAGCACTATGCCCAGCACCAGCTGCCCCACCCTCTGACCTCATCTGGCCTTGAGCAGCCACTGACACAAGTCATTCCAGTCAGAGGCAACTAATGAGCAAGTACTGACCTGAACCCTCACCTCACTGTGAAGCTAGAGAGAAACACTATTTCAGCCACAAAGTAAAAAGCTGTGTGGGATTTTTTATTTTAAGACTTAAGTGCAGTTTTCAAAGGATTAAGCATCCACATTTGAAATGTAAGCACTTCATGTAAGGTGCATATATTGGTGCATGCAATATGTTGCTCTAATGTGATTGTGGTCAGACATGTGGTCCCATAGCTAGACAGCATTTGTGTACAAAATTGGTCAACACAGCACAACCAATGACTTTGAAAAGCCTGATAACCAATTCAGGCACCAATACAGGTGGTTAGGAGGGTGGTTAGCTGTTGATAGCATTTTTTGCAGTTGCATTTATACTTTGTTGGAGATGAGCTGCAAGATACTCATCCAAGGTTGCCAACATATTTTCTTACACATATTTCCTCTTTGTACAATTACTGCTCAACCAGAAAAAAAGGCCAGCATCATGGCATGCTCAACTGGTGACATCAAGTAGAAACCTATTTTTGCTGGTACCAGCAGCGGAAATTGATAAGCTTTGCTCATTACACCAATGAAGGGGTCTTAACATTCACAAGTTAAAGTATTTATTTCACTCTGCACCTTTGCTGGCACAACACTGTTCTTCCACTATCAGAAAAAATAAAAATTTTCACACTGCATGTAGTTGCCCTTCCATCTGCCTGTTGGGTTCTTTGGTTCCCGAGTGAATGGGCGGATGGGTGAGCATGGGGTGGAATGCTAGGACATCATGGAAAAGCATTGTGCTTCTGTTCAGCAGCTATACAGTCAGTCTAAAACACTATGATGAGCTTGACGCAAGTTTGCGATGCCAGGCAAAAGACACAAACCATTAGAAACAGCAGAATCAATGCTCAAAAATATCATTGTAAGACCAAATCATTTTGGCTGGAGATACCTTTAAAATATTTTTCAATGCAACTGTGTTTGCAACTACTTCAGACCACAGGTTTTCCTGAAATGATCACATTTTAACAGGGTACGTATGAGTATCATGTGTGCATGTGATACAGTATAGAAACTTGGATATGCAGAAATTATGTAGACACTATTGACTGACTATTTTCACAGGCATGTGTTGGCATGACTTCATAGTTTCAGAGTGCTACACGAACAGGTACAAGTTCAAACGATGTAGTTTGACTTCGGAATCGATTAGCACTTGTTAGCTAGGCGCATCTCAGCACAACACGACGCGTCTCCACCGCATCAACAAGACGGGAAACCATCCCTCAGCGTTATACAAACGGGCCTCACCTTCTGTGGAGTGAAATATATCAGCTATGCTTCTAACAAATACCACTTTCAGCAGCTTGGTCACTGCAATAACCTATATCGACCCGCGACCGCACACTTCGCAGCAACACCTCCCACTGGCGCTTCTCGATTGACTCCAAAATATTCAAGGTTGTAAGCAGTGGGTACAATCCGAGAACTAGTGCAACGGAGGTATATTAATGACGTCATTAGATCCGAAGCGCACATCGGTTGGTCACAAGGGGCAGAATGGGATAGGCTCCACTGCAATTCTTGGGCAATCGATTGACATTAAGGTATGGTTGGTGCAGGATTGCCATCACGGAGCTCGACTTAAAAACAGCGCAAGGCTGGTGCCGCTACACAGTACATGGTAATTACCCGCGATGAGCCTTTTGTTTTAAAGCGAATGTTCCTCATTTAGAAATATTGAAGCGAGCATCAGATATTATAAAATGAGCTATTGGGCAATTTAAAAAATGAGCAATTTATCTATTGACATACCTTTAAGTGGAGAAGACTGCTCTAGACCATAAAATTTATCTATTTAGTAAGCATGCGCCTCAACGCGTCCTTATTTCATTGCGTCGTCGTACCTTGTGCAGAAGAGGCCTTCTTCGGCCTCTTCTGTGTGAAGAGTGCACTCTTCGGCCCTCCATGCAAATGGCTTATCTACCGGCATCACCTCTTTTGTCCAAATGACATTCCCATTGCCCACTAATTCTTACTGCCGGACTGCCCGTGGCGTAATGGTAACATAAGGACGGTCCAGGAAAATGCTCATAATTGGGCGCTAACTTGTGCAACTGTGTGCATTCGATAGCGCTGGTATAGGGCTATCAGCTGAGAGTTTAACACTCTTGTGGGACAAGGAATCTATTTGATTTGGTCGACACCCAACGTTGTCTCGCTCAATGCCTTCCGGCCGGATGAAGCCTTCATCTGCAAAGTGATGGCGTTCAATTACAAGTGTTTTTATTCCTGCGCGGCGGGTGCTATCAGGAACACACCGTGTCATTATGGAAGCGGATCAGTCGGGAATTTAAATCGTTCATCTGCCGAAATGAGCTTTTTCACTTATCTACACCTCCTCGGGGTGTTGCAACTGCGGCGGTCGGCTCGCACCGCACTGAGTTGAATACAGCAGCCCGCTGAAAATGCTTACATTCGGGCACGACAATGGCAGATGTGTGTTCTTTATAGGACTACAATCGGGCTATCGGATGTGAGAAGAATACACTCGTCCCATTACAGCATCCATTTTATCTGGTCGACCTGCCGAATGATCTGAATGATCACCGAATGATCCTCAAGATGTTTCACCTGAAGTAAAATATATTGAAGATCATTCGGTGCAGTTCACAGTCCCGTCCTTATCAAGACCTACATGCTCTAGCTTCTATGCTACACGCCCACGAGGATGTGCAGACTATTTCGGGGATGCTATTCCAGGGTCACCCAGGCATCCATGACCTCATAATAACAGCATTCAGATCCTGCCATTCCATTAGCCATGTGGCGATCAAGACCATGACAAAAAATGGGGATTCTTTCATATCTCGAGTTCATGAGCACGATTTCTTGATACAATGGTTATCAATCGGCTCCCAATCAATGTGCCGCAAGGCCAATGACGTAATCAGACGATGACGTATTGTGGGACATATTTACTAAATAGAAAAATTGGGTTGTCTAGAGCAATCCCTTCCACATAAAAAGTATACCAATAGTTAAAAGGTAGCTTATTTCATCATACTAGATGCTTTGATATTCTCATACGTGGTACAGTCTCTCCAATGCTGGTCGTCCGGTCGCTTCAATGATTGCGATGTCACGCCGACTGAAACAAAAATAAGTCGTGCGCGGCGGGTGAGACCCTGTGCATGGAATGACACTGCCGAAACACTATCGGTCGTGAATGTAAATCGTTCAATATGTGCTTTGTTGCTGAAATCACCCCCATGACGGCACTTTGCTAACTACGACGCAACTAATAACTGTCCGTTTAGGGAATTCATTGCATTTGGTCGCCCTCTGTCGATGGCTTACTCAACTGTGGCCGGCTGGCCGAAGTGCTGATTTGCAAAACCAGTGCGCCCAATCGAAAATGCTTGTGTTGCAGCGCGGTGGGTGCGACCATGTGCACACGACGTCATTTTGGTGGCACTGTCGGTCTCCAATGTACATCGCTCATTTACCCACAGGAACTTTTCGATCAAATCATCCCTTAACTGCGCATTGATATCTGCTGCCGTCCTGCCAGCAACATGAAGAATCACGGGAAAGACTTAAAATCGCGCGCAAAGGGTGCCGATGACGCTGGTATGGGGCTATGTATTTCCTGTACACCTCACTTGTCTCAATAGGAAGTTCATTTTATTTTATTTATTTATTTTTTCAGTGTCTCGCTAAATGCTTGCGTGTTGGCCGCTGCGGCAATTTGCAAAAGCGCGGTCTCCAATCTCATATACTTCAGTTTTGCGCGACGATTGAGATTTTGTGCACATAACACCTTTCGGGATCACTGTGGGCCGGCAACGAGAATCATTATTTTGCCGACATGACCTTTTGTGTTTAAATCAGGCAGGAACAATGCCTGTAGTCGTGGCAAGGAATGCGACACTGTACATTTGACAGGTCTTTGAGCTTCCATTAGAATACACTAGTCTGACTCAGACTTGTCTGACTCTGAATGTCCTTGTGACAAGGAAATCTATTTGATTCCTTCGACCACCCGACAGTGTCTCACCCATCCAGCAGCGAATGCCTCAGCTGCAATTTGCAGAGATACAGCGTTCAATGCTTGTATTCGCACGCGGCGCGCGCGACCATGTCAGCACGGTGTCAAAATAAAAGCTCCATCAGCCGGCAATGTTAATCGCTTATCGGACGACATGACCTTTTTTGTTAAAATCACTCCTTGGCACAGTGGATTTTTCATTGCAGCCACCATACAGCGTTAGCAGCTGACAGCTTTGCAAAGCCCCAATGACACGCCCGCAATCTCAGGAAGTTAGGAAAGCGATGGCCTGGATTGCAGCTTCCGTGCCCACCGTAAAATGATGTTTCTGAATGTCTTTCAAAATGAATTAATACAGTTCAAAGATTAAACTGGATGATTTCTTTAAAAAATTAAGATCGCCTCTTGGACAGATCAATCGTTACAGGACCACGACAACTAGAGATATCTCTTGTGCTCTTCCAGCTCTACTCTTATACTCTTCAGATTTCAGCACCATTTTGCGGTGCTGTAAAGGCTGATCCTCTATTATCACCATTCCTCAAATCGCACCGGTGAAATATGTTCCCGGAATGTCTGTAAATGAACGGTTTTGTGTCTTAAATAATTCACAGATTATTTTCTCAAATGCTTCATTATTTGCCAGTCCCCGTAGGTTACCGATGCGCGGCCTACGGGGACTGCAACACCTGACGTCGAGGTTTTTGCTAAGGCATGAGAGCGCGCATGCTCAAAAATACGCTGCATAATCTGTACCATTATTCGATTCTGGCTGAATGTTGAAAATTTCCAGAGGATCATGATTTGGCCCTATTAATACAAGTTGCTATGAATACAAGTCGTATACGCTGAGCACAGTTCTGACGTACAAAAGCTAAAGTCAGGCTGCTAATTTCTGAGCTGTGTAGAATAAGATCGGTCGACCTTGATCTCATTGTTGAACACATACTTCAGTTCCGGTTGGCACCTTGCCAATAAACCACTCCAACCGCGGCTTTGACAGCTCCCGGCTCATGGCTGCATGACGATCCTCAGGTTTCTGAAATGATCTCTAATCTGTGTTGTTGGGGATCAGCCTCATGCGTTTCTCTGGGATGTCCTCAGTTCTCTGACTGCCAATCTCATGTGGTGTCTGTCCGAAAGGCGTTCAGAACGACATCCTGCGTCTTTTTCTGATTACGTCGTTGTATCAGTGGGTGGTACAACGTCGTGAATGTTCAACAGGCCCGGCGACACTTTAAGTGGTAGACATAAGACTGCTTACAGCACCTCACTTCTCGACAAAAGCGCTTAACGGAATTGGGCAACTCTGGACAACTGAGAAAACAAAAACGCTATCAGCAGACACGCCCATCAGATCGGTCCGATACATGTATTTGGGTTGCGCACGAGTCACATTGCGGGAAATATCACAGTCAGGCACTCAATCCGGGACTGCCGGGAACGGCGGCGCCCCACGCGCGGGCCTCCGACCGACCCATCCGCTCACTCAGTACACGGCGCACGGGCACACGCGCGGGAGGCCTGCTCACGGACACAGCGTCAGGCGCTGCTGTCCCGCGGGGCCTCGTATAAAAGTACAACAAACTCTTATTGACACTGCTCAAAAGGCTGTCGTCCGTGACCGCACGATATCAACCGATACGTCATGTCAGCGTGCCCCAGGGACCGCAGACCAGAGCACGACGCTTTTCTCAGAAGCAGCGTGTTTCAGCGAAGCCACGCGCGCGGCTGCAGGACGCGCCTGCAGAGGCTCCGTCACCAGCGAGCGGGTGCCCTGCGGTCGAGCCAGCGGCCCCGTGTTTACACTAACAGCGAACGCCGGCTCCCCATCTGCCAGTCGCGCTGTATGTCCTCTCCTGCGACTAGACACACACTGGTCGGTTCTGTGGGCGGCGGCGACGGCTCCAGCAGGGTGTTGCCGCTCGGTCGTCCCGGCCCAGCCGACCGCGACACGGCGCGCTGGTCCGTCACGATACCACTCCGCCTGGACGCCGGGCGGCTCTGGCTCTGGGCGCGGCTCAGCAGTGCTGCACCTTGGCAGCCAGAGCCACCAGGTAGCGCTGCTCCTCCTCCGTCAGGCCATTCTTCAGCGTCCGACGCACTGAGGGCAGAGAGGGCTGTCAGGCACGGGCGAGGCCCGGCGCCGGGCGCGGACAGAGGATTGCACGAGTCGAGGAGAAGCGAGCGTCGCGCCTAGCGGATGAACTTTCGGATCTGCGCAGTCCAGTGTCTTGACAAATGTCTGATTCACACTCTGATCCCGGCGGTGGCGGTGTTGGTATGCTGATACCAGGAACAGCGACGTGATGGCGCACTAACGACGACGATGATATTGCGCATTTAGCCCTCTACGTCTAAAAATATTTTCGATGCTCGGCAG